GATCAGAATACATAAAGAATCTGATGTATAAAAAAATGATAGATATATTATGGATGGGTGGATATAAGTATCGATACATAAAGGATAGATAATAGAAGGACAGAAAGATAAATGATGAATGGATGGATGGACAGGATGGATTGATGAATGGATTAATGGATTAATGGATTAATGGATTGGTGGATTAATGGATTGGTGGATTAATGGACTGAGGGATTGATGGATTGATGGTTGATGGATTGATTGATTGATGTTCGCGTTTTCCAATTTTATTATTAAAATTTCTTTCTGGGAGAAAATATCCTCAATAGTTTATTGATCTGCAGTCTTTTAAACTGAATGTTATTAACAACAAGTGGGCTAAAACATGGCTCAAAACTACTGAACGTCGCTGAAGGTTATTTGAGTTTATAACATTTATACTGGTTTAAACTTTAATTTAACTGGTCTGACACCACAAGTTACAACACAAAGCTGACAGATTAATTTGTTGTGTGGATGTTTCTCTGCAGTGTGATAAAGAACAGAGAACAGGAACATTGCAAAGTTAACCAAACAGCAAAAACCTGATTTCCTCCGACACTGTGATGTATTTCGTTTGTTTGCCGTGTTTTGGATGTTTCTATCTCAGCAGGGGGTCATGTTATGTTTGTACTTGATAAATAACAGACAGTAGATCAGATGGCCACAGTCTGCAGAGCTTCCAACCTGATGGGGTATCAGAGAGGTGAGTTTACAGCAACAGGACAGTTCAGATGTGTGTCAGATAAACTGTCGATCATCCAAACTCAATACGCTCACTTCTCAAGACCTTTGCCTGTAGTTGTCTCTGCTTTAAAGTTCCCACTGTAGGGCACTGAAGTAAAGCACATGTGGACAAAGAGTATTTTAATGCAGAATAATAGATAATAGATAGACTCCAGCTACTTCAGTCGGGTCTGTTGTACAACAATCATATGCTAGTCTTTCTGGAGACATTGTCTAAACTAGATTTAGCTAAACTTTTCAAAGACCTTTGGACATCTCTGGGAACTACAATGCTAAATATTGTTAATTTATCATTTGCGACTGGCACTGTTCCCACCATTTTTAGGATTGCTAATGGTAAATGATTAATGGACTGCACTTACATAGCGGCTTTATAGTCTTCCGAACACTCAAAGCGCTTTACATGCCTCATTCACACACCAGCATCGGGAGCAAAGTGGGGTTCATATCTTGCTCAAGGACACTTTGACATGCAGCAGGAGGAGCCGTTGATCGAACCGCCAACCTTTTGATTAGTGGACGACTCGCTCTACCTCCAGAGCCACAGCCACGCCCGTTAATGCTGTGGTTAAAGCTCTGCTTAAGAAACCACACCTTAATCGACCAGTCTCTAACCTTCCCTTCTTTTCAAAGGTATTAGAAAGAGTTGTGTCTCAGCAACTTTCAGCCCACATAATTAACAGTAATCTTTTTGAACCTTTTCAATCTACTTTTAGGCTCTGTCATTTCACTTAAACTGCACCTAGTAAAGTGGTAAATGATGTTTTGCTTTACTATTGATTACAAATTCGACCTCTGCGCTTCTATTACCCGATCTCAGTGCAGCTTTTGATAATACTGATCACAGTAAACTCCTAGGATGACACGAAAACCAATTTGGTGTCTCTGGCCTGGCTCTCGCATGGTTAAAAATCGTACCTATACAAAACAACACAATGTTTTCCTGATTTCCTGTATAATTAAATCAGTATTTTCTGCATATGGAGAACCCCAGGGCTCTGTTCTCGTCTCCTCTGGTTTTCTCTTTATATATCAACTCTTGGCCAAATAATGCATTTATGGAAAAAAATGTCCACCTCTACACTGATGATACTTCGCTGTATGTGCCTCTAATAAAATACTCTACTCTAAAATACTACTGCGATAACCCTGAT